GCGATTCTTCGTAGGACTTTTTTCGGTGTGCATTTCTTCATTATACCTCCTTTGATTCGCTTAAGGAGAGGGGACATGTAATCTCCCTATGAATCCTTTGATCTTTAGAACAAAAATATTAATGTATACTCATTCTTCCTAACGTTCCACGGTTTATTCTCAGTTGCTCATTTTGCTGCTGTTCTTGGTCATGAGACGATACGGGAGAGATAATATGGACTTTTCAATCACGATGAAAAACGGAAGAAGGGTTCAAGGAAGGAAACCTGATCAAATCTAACCAAACAGTTCCCGTGCAGCCGGACGATGATTTTTGGTGATGATATAGGTTTGATGTAAGGCACACCTGAAAAATCCTATATGCTGTTCATTAGGCTAGACATCAAAAGTGTGCTCAACGGAACACCGTGGGTATTCAATAAAAAAGGAGAAAAAACTGCGTTTTCAAACACATCTCTATATGTTGTTTTCATTCTCATCACCTGAATTTACAAGAACCTAACTCATGTGAACAGTCGTTCTGCACGACTCTACGCGATGCACATGTGTTGCTTCAGCAATCCGTTACAGATATCCTCCCGTCACAATCGCAGCGTGAGAGTCAGGTCACAGGTCATCAGAGTCAGTCCGGGACCTCAGGGCCAGTGTGGGAGCTAGAGACGCGGGCCTCCGTCCCCGCCCTCAGCGGATGCATGTGCCATTTGCAAAACGCTAGCAGCCATAGCACGTGTAGGTCATTTTGGAATCAGGAGAAGGGCAGTTGCGTTCGGGGGTGGTGGCATTTGCTGTCAGATGAACACGGACTATATAAAGGTCAAGGATCTACAAGATGAATGCAGTTATTAACAAATGATACTGTGTACATGTCGCAGCCTTTTTAAAAGTTAGTTTTAGGCTCAAGCGCACTGTTGAGGGGACGTGAACAGTGTGTTTGTCCTCTGCCTGTTGGCCGCTTGCAGTTCCCAGGGATAAAAAAAAACGTTTCTGATATACCGGATGTGAGCGATCACATCATAAAAGCTGTCACTGTTGCAAGCCAGCTGGTGAGAAAATTGCGGAAATGAAAACAAATTTCAACAGACCAGACCATATTGCAACAGGCCATCCCAGCTAAACGAAACTTGAAGCTTTGTATTTGTCTGTACACGTTGGCGCTGGCAGCGTGAGCATGTGCAGAGCACATCTCGAAAGTTGACGTTTCGCTGTAGGTTTGGAATTGAACACACGTTGAAAGCTTTTATTTTGACGTCGGCGATGCAAATGAAGTGACCAAAATCCGAAGAGAAATAAGGATTGGTGTCTGTCAAGCCAAATTTATCGGCTCAGCCCCCTCACACCAACCGATTTTAAAAATTGACACCACTGCTGGCGTTGCCCTAAGTTGTACAGTATTGGGTAGCGTGGGTGATATGTAGACAGCACATGCGCTTACATCATGCGGCTGGTCCCATACGGTATCTGGTTGAACTCTCGACATCTGACATGAGTCCTAAAAACGCAACAAAAAAAAAAAACAACGCCGAATGGGTCGCTTGAGCACGAGCGCACTTGCGCCGTCTCACCAGATGACCCGCGCCGCAACCGGTGTGATTGACCGTTCCAAGACAAGTCGAAATGCAAAGGTTCCCTTGCGCTGTCGCCCCGGTTGAGCCATGTACCCGGTCCTGACACGCCTTTTACCGACTTTTGGCCACTTGCGAACTTTACGTCCACCGTGTTGAACAAATAGTGCACGTTTTCGTTGGCTACGTGTGACGCGAGACGGTAAGCAGCGTTACATTTGTTTACTGAGGTTTCCCTTGACACCAGATGTGGCATGGCACTGGCCTTTCAAAATTAAAAAAAGAAAGTCGGCAATACATAATGGCCACAAGCCGCTGCAGCGTGGGGCAAAGCGAAATTTTTTATTTGGTTCAACTCCTGCGTACGAACTACTCCTATCGTAATTATTCCATGCAAGCTTCATGCCTTACGCATATTTGCTTCTTAACAGTGGGATGCGTATTTATGAACACGCGTTTTTTCACCTATGCTATAAAACCTGTCGGCATTCTGCCATGACTAACGCCACACGTTATCCATTAACTGAATCTGTATTTCTGTTCCTATCCGCAGGGTGACTCTGGCGGTCCAATGGTGCATCTCCGCTCCGATGGTCGGTATCAGCTGGTCGGAGTCGTTTCGGGAGGGACCGCGACGTATTGCAAAGTTACCGCAAACTCTCTGAGTATTTTCAACCGAGTCAGCACATATGTGGACTGGGTACACAACAAGATGAAGTGACACATACGCGCACGGAACAGGCCGGAACACAGCCGTCATAAGTCGCTGTTTGCTGGACAAACGCGTGACCATCGCACCCTCGTGTTTAAGCTTGAGACAGCTGCTGTGCAAGTTTGAGACAGCTTTATTCCCTTGCAAGGGTGTCGCCATCAACTTTGATAGTGGGAAGAGGGCATGATGCCGTCACAACGGTGCTTGAATAAAAGTGGGTGAGAAATCGTGCGTTTAATAACTGACGTTCGCGTAAGCGACATTGCTCTGCAAAGTCCTGCGTGCCTTACGCTGCACCACCGCAAAGCACGGGGGCACGGAAACCAGGGATGGGGCTAGGGCTGAGATCCATAACTGATCGGAAATGAACTTTGGCCCTGTGGACGTCGGCTGGAAACAAATGATTAAAATGCCTGTCATCCCTTCTCCCTCATATGGTGGAAGGATGTCCGGCGACCCATACTGGCGGAAAAATCTTATCGCGGTTTCGTAGGCTTCTACCATCGCAGGGACACTTATAATCTGGACCAATTGGTCATACAATGTATGAGGGTAAAACTGCTTCATGAACAGTGGCAATAGCTTCGCAGGGAGATATTCATTTTTACCTGGCAGCGACGCTCTGGCCTGTACGCCTGATGTTAACAGTGTTTTGTTTACTTGTGGAAAAATAATAACCGCGGGGAAATCTGGTCATTTATTACGGTCGAGATAAACTATCCCAACGAGACGCGGCTTCGGGGTCACAGGGATCACATACTACTCCAGGCCTGCACCACCACCCTTTATGGCGCTGCCCTAAGCGCAGCCAAACATTCTCAGACATGATGCGCGTGGACTGACAAAAGTCACCACGGAATGAGCTCGATCCACTCTATCCAGGCAAAGGCCGCGCACGTAACGAACTGCATTGATCATCCCCAGTGCCAACACTAAGCGCAGTCGGCTGGGCGCCTCCGTCACGCGCTGAAACTTCTTTCTGCTGAAGGTAAACTGGCGGGCAGGGTCATAGGAAGATGATCAAATTGAACAACTTGAGATATGGGTTCAGGCGCAAATTGGCGCACATTACGGAGAAAGGAAGGGGAAGGGGTGTTTGCCCCCTTGGCAACTGGCAAGGGGCGGTTGTCCCCGTGCCCTGCCAAATTATCTAGTACCTAGAGTGCATCTCTGCGCTCAAAGGGATATTTTTGGTTGTTTCATAACGGTTAGCCCCGAAAATACTTACGCTGAATTTCCAAGAAGTTGGTGGACCAGATCCTTGCCCAACTCCCTCCCCAGATCTCGCGTCCCTTGCTTGTGGAAGCTCGGTGATGTGAAAATTGCGTATGATGTTCAAAATGTGTAGGCTTTCTGTCATGTTGACGATTTTAGCATTACCGGGCGCCTCATAAAATTGACGTCAGGAATCAGATCTGATACACTTTGCACACACTTGAAGTCAAAGTTCAAGTGCTGGGCCTTAAGCTTCCGTGTCATTTTAAATATTTCCCGGTTGGTCATATATAGGCCTCAGATTTCGTAGATTTTGTGCGTGTGTAAGCGGGCAGCATCACCAAGCATATAAACAACCGAGATGAAAATGACAAATCTGGCTGGAATTCCAACTTGACCCTCTCCACCAGACCTAACGAGATTTAGTGGCCGGGTTAACTGTCCCTAGCGTCTGCTCCCACGCCTGAGACTGGTCACTGACCAGTCTAAGTGACCAACCAGGGCCTCATAATAAAGCTGCGATCTTTTTGCTGTCACTCAAATCGTGACTCTATCAGCCCGCTAGCACAATACCGAAGATAGGAAAAATGAACACTGTTTAGCAGGCAGCTCAGATGGGTAGTAATGCTGGGGCCGTCCTCATATGTGCGAGCTGGCACGGGGTCAAAGATCATCTGAGAAACTTCGGCGGCCTACCTGCTCCAGTTCACGTCAAGAACCACCAGACGACGGGATCGCCGCGGCGAGCACAGCCCACTCGCACGGGATCCTCGCGGATTGGAAACACGAGGCGGCCACGTTCGGTCCGGGTGCGGAACGGGACGCCTGCACGCCGCTTGGTGAAACAAGAACACTGCTGCAGCTTGGTTACGCTAGAACTATGTTCAGCGCAGCGCAGTCGCCCAACGAAATCGCCGCACCTCGGTCACGCGAAACCACCGCCTCCGAGGTGTCAGATCAGATGACGGAACGGCCGCGGCCGCTGCAGCTCAGTCCACTGACGAGGTCCCCGACTTCAGCGCAGCTCGGTCACCCGACGAGAGAGCAGCCGCTCGGTGACATGTGACCGCTGCAACCTGTACGGCTCAGGTGTCAGTCGGTGAAGCAACGCTGTATTCAGAGCAAATAACGGGACCGCTGAGGCCTGCAGCTCGGTCGCGCGACGAGACCGCCGCCTCTATCACAGCTGAGTCAGGTGAGCGGGAGGGGGGGGGGGGGGGCGGCGGCTGGGGCCAGCACAGCTGAGTGAGATGATGGCACGGCTGGGACCAGCACAGCTGAGTGAGATAATGGCACGGTTGGGACCAGCATAGCTGAGTGAGGCGATGGGGCGGCCGGGGCCAGCACAGCTGAGTGAGATGATGGCACGGCTGGGACCAGCACAGCTGAGTGAGATCATGGGACGGCTGGGACCAGCACACCTCGGTCACCCTATGAGAGGACCAGCAGTGCATGACCTGTAAAGTACCGTTGTTGACATACCAAATCGACATAGGTAAATCGGACCCAGGTCAGTTAACTTCAGTTCAAAAGCAGGTTACAAAAACATGTTCTCAAACAAAGAAGCACTCTATTTTGGCAGAAAACAAGCATTTCGTTTGATTTTAAACATTCGGAAACATCTGGATTACCTAAAGGGATGGATCCAGAGGTAAGTATGGAGGAGAGGACCTAAGGCCATGCTTCCCCTGAACCGCAAGGACATCAAAATCCTCATTTGGGATCAACATGATCTTTGTTTTCAAAAGGCACCAACTTTCAGGGGAACCACAAATGGCCCCAAATCTTCATTCCGATGGGGCATTTATTCCACTTCCAGCTCCATTTGAACCCGCTGCAGAGCATGTGGGCCGTGCCAAACACCGCTTTGACAAGCCGGAGCACTGGGGACAGCTCCTGGTGGTGCCACAGTATCTCAGCTCCTGGTGATCCCATAGCACGACCTGGTGCCTGGATCACAGCCGATCAGCATGTCAACGGGCCTGTGACTGAATTCGCCCACAGCCTACACGCCCAGAGGTAGCGGCACGCCCTTGGTAGGGCCTCCACCACCTACCGATGCACGCAGGCTGTTAGTTTTCAGGACAACGTGCTCTTACCTGTTTGCTGTCTGCTCTTCAGGATCACAAATACCTGGTCATAGACGTGTGCCTCTTCCGTTTTTTGACCCAAAGCGTGCATAGGTGTCCTGGTCAACCATCTTGAAATCAAGCCCCTTAGTACATAAAGCCATGATAAAGGACGAACCAAAGACTCCATCGATCAGCGCACTTTGTAACGAGATCCAGGAGGCCTGAAAGTATCTACCAGGACAGCTTGAACACTATGCTGACCAGCCTGTGTGCGTGCATTGTTGTAGCGGCGACTCTCCTGTCTGGAGCAAGTCGAGCGGCCAACTCTCATCAGTCTCCCGCTGAACAGGTGATGAGCCAATGACATCAGAAACGGGCCATGCTGATGACGCAGAGGGGGTAGGAACTAATGCAGCATACCAGCGAATAGGCCAGTGGTGCGAATTGGGCTCCTGATGCAGTGAGGAGTGGTGGGCACCTCCGCACATGTGGCATGCAATGCTGACACATGCACTGTCACGATGATGTCCAAGACACTGGAAGCAGAGCACTATCTGTTTCACAACCCTCCAGCGAGCGGGCACATCTAGCTGTTTACAGGCGTAGCAAAAAAGCAGCCATGTTTGGGCACGTCTGGGCATGTCTGAACTTATGGTAAACCTCACACGGTGCACAAAAAGCGTTAAATGTGAAAGAACTGCTGGTTTTTCAAACAGCCCTGTAATCCGACAATTGCATGCCGCCGGTATATCATTCTTCCAACACACTTTCATTACCTCTCGCCCAACAGTTGTGCATTTGCCTTCACCCGAATCTGAACCCAGCCAGCAGCCCACTATGTCCCTCATTTATTTCTGGGCAACACAGAAACCCAGTTTAGACAGGTGTATACCAACTGCTTGAGTGCGGCAAACAGCGCCCAGCAGGCCACCACGCCGCGCTAGGCTTGGAACATGCCTAATTTATGGTGAAGAGTATGACGATGATGCAAGATGGACTCGTGGTGCACAGAAAACATTCTTAGGGACACGGCCTTGATGAGTCTCGAATATATTACCGAATCCCCAGTGCCATGCCACTGGTTCGAATTCTGTCATGCCTTTCTCTCCCTTCCTCTCCCTCCCTATCCCTAGCTCTTACTCTCTCTCTCCCTCCCTCTCCCTTCCTCTCCCTCCCTCTCTCTCTTGTTCTTCCTCTCTCTCCCTCTCTCTCTCTTTCCCTCTCCCCTTTTCCTCCCTCCCCTCTCCCCCCTCTCTCTCTCTCTCTACCTCGCTCTCTCTCTCCCTTCCTCTCTCTCTTGCTCTTCCTCTCCCTCCCTCTCTCTCTTTCCCTCTCCCCTTTCCTCCCTCCCCCTCCCCCTCTCTCTCCTCTCTTTCCCTCTCCCCTTTCCTCCCTCCCCCTCACATCTCTCTCTCTCTCGTTCTCTCTCTCTCTCCCTCGCTCTCTCTCTCTCCCCCCCCCCCTCTCTCTCGTTCTCTCTCTCTCCCCTCGCTCTCTCTCCCTTCCTCTCTCTCTCTCTCTCGTTCTCTCTCTCTCTCTCTCTCTCTCTCTCTCTCTCTCTCTCTCTCTCTCTCTCTCTCTATCTCTCTCTCTCTCTCTCTCTCTCTCTCTCTCTCTCTCTGCGCCGCCGCGCCGGGTCGGCCGGCTGAGCCCCGGGTCCCGGCCTAGTGTGTGTGCTCGGCTGCCGCGTGACGGAGGCGCGCTGCATTCGATCCGCGCTGGTAGACACACGGAGGGGCGCCGCCGAGGGGCACCACCGAGAGCGACCGCCACAGGCAGGTGGGTATCAGCCGCCGGTGTCGCCATCGACTAAGCGAGGTCGTTAACCGACTAAGCAAGATCATTAATGTGACGAGTGGTGATAAGACAATGTGAGAGTGGTGATGGGACCAGAGCATGGTTCAGGCATACACTACCACGCCGCGCGAACCTGATCTTT